CTCCCTCCGGCCTGAGGGCCGGCCCTGCTGCAGGCCCTCCGCTCTCTGGGCCCCCATGTTGAATGCAGATGCTTTAAACCGCGCCTTTTTGGCGCTGGAAAGGTAACTCACCTGTGTGACTGCCAAAACGTTATCAGTGATCTGAGATCACCGATCATCAAATTAAGATGGTGTTGACTAAATGTTTCTGGTGTTCTAGGCATTTGTTCAGACATTTATTTCAGACATTTGTTAAGGGTTGTGGACCTTTCTGTCGTGGTTTTCAGGATGGTTTCATCCAGCTGTTGGTACAGCTCAGCACTAAAAGCCAGTGGAGTTAGGAAGATAGATAGATAGATAGATAGATAGATAGATAGATAGATAGATAGATAGATAGATAGATAGATAGATAGATAGAACAGGGCAGACCAGCTACACTGTTGTTTTTGGGTTTGCTATCAAAAATCACCAAGACAATTGTTATATGGTGATTTCCTGGGGAATGAAGTTAAAGAGGTAAACCTAAACTGTTTCCTTTTGTGCCTACATCAGGCTTACTGTATTAACAGTATTACTGGTAGGGGTAGAGGTTTTGAGGGATTGAATGTGCTGAATTCTTTTGTTTCCGGATTTTTTAACCCACTGTGTTTTCTAACCCAGTGTAAAAAAAGGCCATGTGTCATTGTTGGTACAGATGTGGTATGTTGCAATTTTTTAAATGCTTTGATACAGGTACAGGAAATCATTTGCTGTGGTTGATGTTGGTATGGTAAGGTGTTTGCACTGCCTGACTTGTACAATTCTAGTATTGAGAGTAGCTGACAGAGCCTTCAAAGGGCAGCTCAGAATTGAGCGCTGTTTCAAATTGTGCTCTGAGGGCTCCCTTGATGAATAGGGAGCCCAAGGCAGCTTCACTAATTTGAGCAAACTAGTTGGATTCCCTGAAGTTACATGGTCTGAACAGTCTGCCACGTATTCAGGGTTTCATAGAAAATCTAGGGCTTGTTGACAAAGCAATGGTTTTAAAAATCTCACTTCCTATGAATAATTAATGCTAGTAGTAACCTAGTCATTATCTTCAGATGCTGAATATGTCCTTCCAGGATTACTTAAGGAGCTTGGGGTTTTTGTCAGCCCTATTAATTGCCACATAGGTGCTGGGTTTTTACAGCAATGAGAAACCATCTAATCCATGTGATAGATCAGATCTACTAGGTGATCTACAAAGATATCTGTCTGAACTATGGTGAAGAACAGTTACTTTTCCCTCTCATTTATTGCATGTTGATTCATGTTGGGATTCAATTAAGATGTGTTACAGTAAAAAATAAGTTTCTGCTTTTTGTCAAATAAGAACTTACGCTCCATCTTATGTATTGGGGATTTTAGAACATCTCCACCCCACTTCTCAAAGAAAGCCATTGGGACATCTCTTCAAACTGTTTTTATTCATTCTGGTTTTTTTTACAGCTTATCATAAAGGGGTAGTACCACTAATGCTAAATTTAATTTAATTTGTTTTATGCTTCTTGCCAAAGGATCCCCAGGGTCAAAAGACTGGTAATTGTACTGAGTTGGCATCCCACTGGCCTGAAATTGTTTTCTGTTATATATACCTTTTTCCTTCCCTGTCCATGTTTTTCAGATCACCCACAGATTTATGAATATGATAACTGACTTCCAAATTTTGTCAAATAAGAAAAGTACTTTTAAATAAAGTTTATTCTCAGCCACTGCTGAGTGCATCTTGGTCTAGGGACTCCATGATATTGTACATTCTGTTAATGTAATAATACAGTATGGACTAAAGACAGAA